ACTCGAATTCTATCAACATTACTGAAAAATAGTAAGAGATAAAAATTGTTTATTTTCTTCTCGTAGAGAAGATTTCTGAGAATTTTTTCAGAATTTTTTAATTAACTTTTTAGTATTACATTTCTTGCATTTTTTTTTTTGAAATACTAAAAAAGTTAATTACTAAAAAATTCTGAAAAAATTCTAAGAGCTATACGAGAAGAAAATAAATAATTTTTATCTCTTGTTATTTTTCGGTGAAGTTGGTAGAATTCGAGTAAAAAATAATTGAAACCAATAATTTTGTATGTATTTCCGTAAATATCTTAGAAAAAATATTTTCATATAAAAAATATTTTCAAACGAAAGTTGTTTGTTTCTTTACGTAGAATAAAATTCCGTAATAAAAAACATATGTATCTATTTAAAAAAGCAAAGTTGACCTCAACCTGACGTTGGTGGCGCTACTCAAGGTCAAATCAATGGTACCTCCTTATGTCCTCTATCGAACCATATAACTTTTGTCTGAAACATTTTTGCTGAATATGCTTGGCTGAAAAATTATTAGGGTGCATCTTTTATCAAGCGACACGGTAATGTCGCAAAGCCAAGTGCAAGCGCGAAGCAACGCGGTCTACCGTGGATATTTACGCGACGACTCTAGTTGAATGTAGGCTAGATTCTCGTTTCGACTATAACGGCTGAATTGACGAATTTCTGGATGGATTTAATCTTTGTGTTTACATTACTTCATAAAACTATCTTTATTTTTGCTCTAAGTTCTCCAGAAGCTGAGATATCTTAGCTCAAAGTCCAAAATCGATATGTTTTACGATTAAAGAATTCGTCGTCTGAGAAAATGTCCATTTGGGCGTTTTTGTCGTCAGAAGCGCTACGGCACAGATCAGCTTGAGGTATTCGAAAGCTCGGTATCAGTTGGTATGTTCTTTTTAGCTGCACTGCTCAACTGGTGCAATAAGTTAGAGCGAGACAAAATATACTTTCTCACTTTAACTTATTGCACCAGTTCAGTAGTGCAGCTAAAAAGAACAGACCAAAGTCTGTTTGACCAAAGTGTAGTATTTACATTACATGCTAATAAACAATGTTAATAAACGGTGTTACTTACGATTAGTAATTAATATAATTGCTGATAACTGTAGTGAATGAGTGATTTAGCTGTGAATATTTTGGAGGTTATGTGCTGATATATACTACTGTGTCCAAAAAGTAAAGTGACATTGCATTTATTTCGAAAATTCTTTATTTATTCTTGCAAATCAATTTCGTCCCCTTCAAAGTAATCCCCCCCCTGATATAATACACTTATTCCAACGGATATTCCAATCTTCGAAATAGTTGTAATAATCGATTTCAGGAATGGCCTTTAGCTCCTTCTTCGCAGCGGCTTGAATCTCTTCTATCGACTCGAAACGGTGTCCCCGGAGCGGCCGCTTGAGTTTGCTGAATAGCCAGAAGTCGCACCACCGTATTCACCTGATTTGGCTCCATGCGACTTCTGGCTATTCAGCAAACTCAAGCGGCCGCTCCGGGGACACCGTTTCGAGTCGATAGAAGAGATTCAAGCCGCTGCGAAGAAGGAGCTAAAGGCCATTCCTGAAATCGATTATTACAACTGTTTCGAAGATTGGAAAATCCGTTGGAATAAGTGTATTATATCAGGGGGGG